TTGTATGCTAGTGGTAGGGGGTGGAGTAGTCCCTAGTTATCGGTTGAAAGATACCAATGATGATTACCGGTTGAAAGATACCGATGATGATTACCTGTTGAAAGATACCGACGATGATTACCGGTTGAAAGATGCCGACGATGATTACCGGTAAAGATACCGATGATGTTGTATGGTATGTGGTATGATGGGGGAACTCACTAAGCTTTGTGCTTACAGTTTTAGTTTTGGTTTCAGGTACCTCTTCGTCTAAGGGGAAGGAGCCGGCAGTGTAGCAGCGCATCACACACACACACATGATTTCCGCATGGAGTTTTCTGGGATTGTACTCTGATATGTTATTATTTTATGACTTGGGTTTTCAGACATGATACATTGTTTTATGAGATGATGTGTTTTCACAGTATTTTCTTATGAATGTTTTTATGAGTCAGTTAATTTAAAAGAAATTTTTGGACTCGAAAATTGGGACGTTACAATTTGAGTTGTAAAAGTGTGAAAAACAATAGTGTGCAGCTGATTATAACCAAACACGGAACTTAAGGGGGGCATTTTCGTCAACCTAAAACTTATTAACTCTCACGGTGAATTAACGACGTTAGTTCATCTGTATCACATCTTAGTGAAATCGATTTTACCCTCTCATTGAAAACGATCTTTTACTTCACCGACAAACATCAATTTCAAACGCATCGCTGGCGACGATTCAGTCGATATCCACAGTCAATCTTGCCGAAAAGTTCGTAAAAATGAATCTAGAAGGTATATTTGACTGCTATTCATCTCCGATTATCTCATTTAATGCATTTTAAACATTAAATTTTCCGATTGATAAATTTCAAAACCAAAAATCTAAACTATTTGTTACATTATGTATTCGATGAATCTGTGAATACGATTTTATTAACAAAATCGTTTTTGACTGATTTGAAACCCTCGGATGATGAACTTTTAAGAATTTGTATTTATAACGAAAACCTAATGATTTAAATTTCTTCAAATCGATACAGAAATCATGAATATCGTAATTTCCTAAAACTTTATGAATCTAACTCGAATATGAGTTTATTAAATAAATCGAAACCCTAATTTCATGAACTTTTGTGAATTTTTATAATTACCAAAAACCTAATGATTTAAATTTCTTCAAATCGATACAGAAATCATGAATATCTAAATTACAAACCGTAATTTCCAAATATTTGTGCATCTAAGTGGTTTCAGAGTTTATTCATTAAACTGAAAAACTAACTTCACATTTTGAATTCAGAGTGTGGTTTGTGATTTACATTTGATTATTTCAAAAAAATTCAATGTTTCTGAGTATTACATTTTTTGACAATTCACAAAGTGAATCATGATTACATATCAATTTAACATATCATTGATTCAAATTGTGAATTCACAGGGTGCTTTATCATTTACATTTGATTTTTTCATCTTGTGCAAATTCACATTGTGCATCTATGTTTAATTGATATTGTATCTCTTATTGTGCTTCTCATTGTAAATTTATAAAGAGTTGCATTGGTAATGTTTTGATTCATACTGAATTCACAATGTGAATAAATGTTATGTTAAATTCATCTGTAGTCCTGATTCACATTGTGAATTATATGAATAAATCATAACTTTCATATCATGAAACTGATGTTTGAATTAATTTGTTAATCAAAAACAGGAAATGAAGAAAAGATCAACGAAAAAAAGGATAATAAGAAAAGAAAGAAATTGACAAGAAATCTAAAAGATGCTCTACCTTCAACTATAAGTGAAAAAGCTGAAGATATTCAAGATAAAAAAACAGGTTAGAACATTCACATTCAGATTAAAATAACTTATTATCTAATCATATACTACACACTTACTAAAAAAAACTAATTCACAATGTGAATCTTTGATGTAACTCATATCCTCACAGATTCACAATGTGAATCTCTTAAAAAAAATTTTGCAACTTGATTACCACTTTCACTTGTTTTCACTATGCACACAATACATGAACAGATTCACCATATGTATGTGTACATCACTTGGTGAACCTCAGACTGTTTTGGTATGAAATATAGAGATCCACATTGTGAATCTTCGATGTACACTCAAATTCTCAAAGATTTACAATGTGAATCTCTTAAAGAATTTTATGCAAGTTGATTACCACTTTCGCTTGTTTTCACTATGCACACAATACGTGAAAATATTCAACATGTGTGTGTGTACATCAATTGGTGAACCTCAAACTGTTTTGGTATGAAATGTAGAGATTCACATTGTGAATCTTCGATGTACATCTCACATTCTCAAAGACTTACAATGTGAATCTCTTAAAAATGTTTTCCACTTTGTTTACCACTTTCACTTGTTTTTACTATGCACACAATACGTGAAAAGATTCACCATGTGTATGTGTACATCACTTGGTGAACCTCAAACTGTTTTGCTATAAAATGCATATATTCACAATGTGAATCTTCGATGTATATCTCACATTCATACAGATTCACAATGTGAATCTCTTAAAAAAATTGCAAGTTGATTAACACTTTTGTTCGTTTTCACTATGCACAAAATAAGTGAAATTTTCACCATGTGTATGTGTACATCACTTGGTGAACCTCAAACTGTTTTGGTATGAAATGCATAAATTCACAATGTGAATCTTTGATGTAACTCATAGCCTCACAGATTCACAATGTGAATCTCTTTAAAATTTTTTTGCAAGTTGATTAACACTTTCGTTTGTTTTAACTATGCACACAATACGTGAAAAGATTCACCATGTGTATGTGTAAATCACTTGGTGAATCTCAAAATTTTTTTCTATAAAATGCATATATTCACAATGTGAATTTTTGATGTATATCTCACATTCTCACTAATTCAAAATGTGAATCCCTTAAATTTTTTTTTGCAAGTTGATTTCCACTTTCGCTTGTTTTCACTATACACACAATACGTGAAAAGATTCACCATGTGTTTGTGTACATCACTTGGTGAACCTCAGACTGTTTTGGTATGAAATGCAGAGATTTACAATGTAAATCTTCGATGCATATCTCACATTCACACAGATTCACAATGTGAATCTCTTAAAAAAATTGCAAGTTGATTACCACTTTCGCTTGTTTTCACTATGCACACAATACGTGAAAAGATTCACCATGTGTATGTGTACATCACTTGGTGAACCTCAAACTGTTTTGGTATGCAATGCATAAATTCACAATGTGAATCTTCGATGTATATCTCACATTCTCACAGATTCCTAATGTTAATCTATTTAAATAAAACATTTGCAAGTTGATTACCACTTTCTCTTGTTTTCACTATGCACAAAATAAGTGAAAAGATTCACCATGTGTACGTGTACGTACATCACTTGGTGAACCTCAAACTGTTTTGGTATGAAATGCATAAATTCACAATGTGAATCTTCGATGTAACTCATAGCCTCACAGATTCACAATGTGAATTTCTAAAAAGTTTTTGCAATTTGATCATCACATGTTGAATTTTATATTTTTTGGCATGTATTTCATAATATTACTTATATTTTTGACATTGACATTAAAAATTTCACATTGTGTAGTTGAAGGTTCAAAAAAATATACCAAAACACCGCAAGGATAACCGTGGTGGAAATTGTTAAAAAATTAAGAAAAAATGAAGATGAAAAGACTCGTGATGAAAACGTTGAAAAAGGAAAAACTTTAGAAGGTGATAAGATTCAAAAAAAGCAAACAAAAAAATTGATGAAGCAAGATGAATATGTTTTGAAGACACTTGAAAAGAAAACAACACAAGGTTAGTATTTATAAAATTATAATTTACTTTAATATATAAAATCAGTTAACATTAATTTTTTTTTTTAAAATGAACAGAAATCAGACAGAGTCCAAGATTTCAAAAAACAAAAACGAAAAAGTCGATGAAGCAAGACAAATCTGTTTTCAAGACAGCTGAATAGAAAACAACTTAAGGTTAGTATTTATAAAATTATAATTAAATTTGATATTATAAAATTAATTCTCATTAATTTTGTTAAAACATGAACGGAAATCAGACAGAGTCCAATACTTAAAATGATTGAATACAAAAATCTGTGACTCCTAGTAAAATTGATGAAAGCCTTGTAAAGAAAGAATCTGATAAAAAAGCAACGGGTTAGTTTATTACTATTCACATGTTTAATTTACAAAGTTATAAACAAATTCACATGTTTATTTTATGTATTATATTATATTTTAGAAAACAAATTCACATGTGAATTTGTTGTGTTGTTAGTTATTTTATAGTATATATGTTATAGTATGAGAAGCTTACAGAAATTATTGACTATCAGGAAAAAGAAAAAGAAAAACAAATGAAGTTGGGATAAAAATTAAGATTATCAAGACAAAGACTCTGGAAGTAGTCAAAGAAAAAAAAGGCAAAAGTGCCAACAAATCCAAATGACAGAGTATCTTTGAGAACAAGAATGTGCCCAAAGAAGTTTTATGATATCGTTAAATCTTTAAACAAAGAACAGAAAAAAGCTGTTAGAGAAATGGGATTGAGATCTTTGCTGAGAATTGCAACCAATGGAATTTCTGGGAAATTGGCACGTTTTGTTGTGAATTCATTCAATCCATTGATATGAAAATGCATCTACCTAATGCAAAGATAGACATAACACCAGCTCTCTTGTTCATGATTTGCTTGGAATTCCTCTAGGTGGAAAAGATATATATAACACTGATCAATGTGAAGGAAAAAAATTAAAGGATTGGAAGCAACAGTACAATTTTAAGGCTATGAGACCATCGGATGTTGAAGAGAGGATTAAAGAATCATCAGATTCAGGGATTATTTTTAGAACAAACTTTCTATTACTATTTGTTAATACCATATGTGAATAAAATAAGCCTGGAACTTGTAAAACAACAGTATTTCCACATTTGTTAGGCAAAACACCTATGAGAGAAATTGATTGGTGTGGTTTTATAACCAATTGCTTGAAAATGTCAAAGACGACGTGGGATGAAACCGATAGAGGAAACTACTATTGTGGGACACTTGTATTATTGGTAAGGAAATTTTTTTATAAGTAACACTTTTATTTATATTATTATAAGAAAACTAATTAATCATAATTTTGTTTACATAAACAGCTAGCTTATTTGGAGTTTATGAGAAATGATAAGAGTGAAAAAAGACAAATACATGCACTACATTTTTGGGATTATGAGATGATGGTGAAAAGGGAAAAAGTAGAGTTAAAGAGTGGTGACTTTGGAACTTTGGAATGGAATGATGATGTTATAGAGAATGATGAAGAATCCGACACCGATGAAAATGAAGATATGAAACTCGATGTAAGTTAATAATCTATATAATTAAAAAAATTTGTGAAGCTGTATTACAAATATATGTTATAAAATTGTAGTTAAGATGAATTCACAAAGTGATTCACATTGTGAATATAAATTTGTATTTTATAACTTTTTCTATAATAAATTCACATAGTGAATATGTAATTTAATAAAATGCATTAAAAGTGTGATACCTCATCAATGCATTTATATTGTGAAACTGGAAATTATTATAGAAAAAAGTTAAAAAATTCATTGTTATTGACATTTTTTATTTCATTTTGTAGGAATTGGTATTCAAAGCAAAAAAGAATTATAAAAAACTAGTGAATGACAAAATGAAGTTTGGAAAGTTAATTGAGTTTTCAACAACAAAATTCACAGAAAGCGATGAGTTGAAAGATATGAAGAAAGTCTTTGAACAAGAATTCATTTATAAAAGTAAAAATGAAGATGAACCAAATGAGATGAATGAAGATGATGCAAAAAGTGACGAGAATGAAGATGGAGAAATGGATGCGAATAAGGTGGATGGGAATAAGGGTGATATACATAAAGATACAGATGTAGAAACTACACCAACAAGAATAAAAATAAAGAATCAACCAATCATGGTAACACCAGGAAATTTGTACAATGATCCAATAGTGCATGAGATTGCTGATTCTATTCAATGTATTTTAAATTTTGATCATTATGATGATTTTGTCAATGTAAAAAGTTTTGGAGAACAAATAAATAAAAAAACAATAATAGTTGATAAAAAAAAGAAAAAAATACTAGAAAATCATCAATGCCTAGTTTTTCACTTGGACTTGGACTTGGTCTTGGTCTAACACAAGAGTTTCAGGAAGGAGATGAAAGCAGTGAAGATGAACAAGAGAAGAAAGAAAGAAAAGATGAAAAACTTGATGAAGAAGAAAGTTATGATTCAGAAGAAATAGAATGTAACAATAATATCTTGGGAATTGAAGATCATCAAGAGGGAAAAAGAGATGTAGGAAAAAGATTAAAAAACAATCACTGAAGATATCTTCTCCTTATAATCAAAAAGAGGTTTGTGCATCGAAATTTGTAGATCCAGATGTTAAATCATAAAAGTGACCCTCTTGAACTTTGCTACCGCAGCCACTTCAGCACCCGCAGTCAGTCTCTTTATCAGCATCAGCAACCGGAGTCAGCTACCGCAGTCAACTTAGCTAGATTACTTTACTTGTCTTTTTTGTAATACACTCTATTGTCCAGTATGCCTTGCACGGCTGCTTATAGAGATGTAATCTAGTGCATTTCTGAGTCTCTATAAATAGAGACTTATTCTCCTGTATTGAACATACTCTATCACCGATAACTTATGCATTCTATCTGAATATACATTCTGAAGTTATCTCTCTATCCTTCTTCACTCATCGCTTCTTACTTAAATCTTATCATAATTCTGCTGATCATAATCTCTCTTCGGAGCAAGTCATATTTGACTTAATCACTAAGCTTGATCTTCCTTATTAACTTGGAGTGAATGCATTCCTTGTTATGAATCAGCTTAAGTGTATTCTTGATATAACAATTGCTGTCATTTCTATTTCTTTGCTTTTCCGCAACTAACTCTCTAACCATCTAACTATATTATTGTTGAGCTTTTAGATCCTTTGAGATTGACTATTCCGCAATATACTTGTTCTAACTTTTGTTCAAGTGTGTCTCCAAGTTTTTCTCTCAACAATTGGTATCAGAGCCAAAGTGGTTGCTTTTTGAAAACGGAACTCTGATTTTTTCAAAGGGCCTTCTATACCACTAAAGCTCATTTCTCACAAAAAAAAAAAACTCAAATGGCACAGTCGTTATCTCTGAATGTTTCCAACAGTGTTGGTGGTTCTAACCGAGCCCCAATACTGGTAGCAAATGAATATCATCACTGGTCACAAAGAATGGAAAGATACTTAAGAAGACTTGGTAGAGATGTATGGCGATCCGTAGAAGAAGGACCACATGTTCCAGCCCTTACACCAGTCCAAACTGACGGCGCTGCAACTAGGCTAGGAGGAGGTCAACCAGCCATGAGCCGTCCCACCAAGGATGATCTCGATAAAATGGAAAATGATGCTGTTGCCTTTTATGAAATATCCTGCGGAGTTGCTCCTGACAACTTCGAGATTATCATAAATTGCAAATCGGCAAAAGAGATATGGGATGTTCTCAAGAACCTGTACGAAGGCACAGAACAAGCACAAGATAAGAAGCTTACTACCTCACTCAACGAGTTCAACAACTTTAAAGCTCATACTGGGGAAAGTTTGGAAGACTCCTTCAAAAGGTTCAACCTGATAGTCACCAAGTTATCCAATGCGTGCACCATCCGCAGTAACCATGAAACCAATCTTCAGTTTCTTAATGGTTTGGGCAGACATTGGACTACGGCCAAGATGATAGTCCAAGGTGATAGAAAGATTCACTCCTTGTCACTTTACAAGCTCTATGGAGAGCTGCAAGCTCAAGAATCCACCGTACTCAAAGATTGTGCTGACTTCGGAGGACCACTTGCTCTCATAGCACAAGCTCCATCGCAGTCACCTTACTCTTCCTCGTATGACACTCCACCGCAGTCATACGAAGCGGATTCTGAATATGATGATGAAGAAGATTTTCTGAAGGCTATTGCTCTAGTTAGCCAACAGTTCAACCGTCTACCACCTCCATCCTTCCGCAAGAATCAACAGTTCAACAAACCTCCATTCAACCGTAACTTCGGTTCTCAGAACAACCACCCTCGATATCCCAAAAGTTCTCATCCTCCACCACAATCTCAGAATAATCAACCAAAGGAGGTACCGCAGTCTCCTCAAAGCACTGACTCCGGTACTCCTTCAGAAGACAAGACTGATGTTGTAATTTGTCACAAATGCAACAAAGAGAATCACTTTGCACGAGATTGTAAGGCCAATGTAGTGAAAGACAGAGCATTCTACCTTAGAATGGCTCAAGAGTTGGAAGACAAAGAAAAAGCTGAAAAGGCAAGGGCATACGTGGCCCATGTCAAAAGAGATCATCAAGTCTGGTCATCCGGAGACGAAGATGAGGCCATCAGCAGTGTCAAAGGAAAAGGGAAAATCTGCATGCTGGCCACTGCGGATGATGATGGGTCTACAATGTTGAACAAGAACTACTGCTACATGGCAAAGGATGGAACACTAAGCATCGTCAAACAGGTAAAACTCATGATCCAAACTCTAAACTATAACATGCATGACTGTCAGCCTTACATAGATGATCTTAATGACACTTGTGCTGCCGTCCTTACAGACTATAATAAAACCTTAGATGAGAAGAACATTGCGTCCCAAGAGATGTTCCACGTGAGAGGACGACTGGATAACAAAAGACTTAAGATGGCTATGTTAGAGAAGGACCTAGAGTTAGAAAAGGATGCAAGAATGTTAAGTGAAACCCAATTAGAGATAGCTTTGAACCAGAGAGATTTAGCTCAGAGAGAAACTGTACGCTTAAATCTCTTAATTGAAAAATTGTTTAATGAAAGTGAAGCTATTGAAAATTTGGTAAACAATGGAACCGTGGACAATACATACAATTGGGGTTGGTCAAATGGATATCCTACCGCAATGGATTCCTCACCCCGGTTCAACAAAGACAGACTGTATGTCCCTCCAGACCGAGAATTTCACTTCCCTGTCAATGACAAGACTTTTCCCGAAGATATTAAAACTCACTTCGGTAGACTGCACAATTTAAGCAATAATTGTGTCATTGAGGAAATTGTGCCGGAGGTTTCGGGTCACACATGTGATCCAATTCCTATCTGTGGCACCGTCTATCCAAATTCTCAAACTTCATCCGTAGTTGATGAAGAGATTGTTGTTGAGGGCCCCGAAGTCTCAAAAGACTTTCCATCTCTGTCCTTAGACCGCAGTGTCTCTCACTGTAGTCAAATGTCCCACAAATGTCCCACCGAAGTCCCATCTAAGACTTACTCAGCGGTAGTCAAGTCATCCCTACCGCAGTCATCAGTTCAAGGAACTGTAACTCTTCAGCCAATATTTCATGAACTACCTATAGAAAATTTTAAAGTAGGTCAATGTTCTCAAATTCCTGAATCCTCAAGTTTTGATGACTCAAGTCCGCATTCTCAAACTCATTCTAAGAATTCCAGGAAACCGCAGTTGAACAACAATGATTGCGGTTCACCAAAATCTTTGGCAAAAAAGGCTTTTAAAGAAGAAATCAGATCTCGTGGTACTAATAGACAAACTTTTTCAAAAAACAAGAAGCAAGTCAGATTTCCTAAATCCAAAAGTCCTGAAAAATTTGTTTTCTCTCACTACATTTCAAAAAACTCTCCTGTCAAGAAAACAAACAAAAAGGAATGTCAAATTTCATCAGTCATTTCCAGCTCACCTGACAAAAATCAAAAGAGTGTAAAGTCTTTTCAAATCAATGGTTTTCAAATATATTCCTTGGACGACCCAAAATGGAAGGGTATCTTACCTATTCCAACACTTTTAAAGTCACATCAAAATTTCAAAAGATGGAAGGATATTTTACCAACTCCACCAAAAGGAGTTCAGAAATCTACACGTGCTAAAACCTTTCAAAAACAGACTTTTTTCGTGTCAGGAATTACCCATCTCCGGTAACATCCAAAACATCCTTAAAACCGCTGACCAATCACAGTGTCAGATCAAAAGACAAAATCTCCTTTTGTAAATGTCAGTGTAGTTGTCAAAAGGTTTTATCTCATGTCAAATCGAGTCAGAGTCAGAAACCTCGTATTTTTTCAAAAAATCACAACACTCCAAATCTACTCAAACACCCAGGACTAGGCTCAAAAGTTGACAAGAGACCTGTCCCTGCAACCTCGGACCATGCATCACTCAGAAACACATCAATTGTCCCAAGCTCCAAACTTGTTTGGATGCCTAAACTAACAGTGTAATTCTCAGGCTTTGTGCAAGGAGGAACAAGAAGAAGAGTGGTTAATTGACAGTGCCTGCTCCTTGCACATGACCGGAAGGTTATAGTACCTTCGGGATTTCAGGCCTATATGCAATGGTGGAAATGTCACGTTTGGTAACAATGCAAACGGTGTCATCCGAGGTTACGGTGCTCTCACTACGGGGAACTTTTCTATTCAGAAGGTTGCTTATGTAGAAAGCCTTAAACACAATCTCATCAGTGTTGGCCAACTATGTAAAGCAGGACATCGTGTTGAATTTGATGATCAATTTTTCTATGTAATGACAAGTGACAGAAACACATGCCTGATCAAATCCCGATCCGAAGGTACCATGTACCCTTTGGATGTCTCTCTGATCATTGGTAGACCGCAGTTGTGCTTCCTATCCAAAGCTGTATCTGAAGTCAGCTGGCTATGGCACCGCAAGCTAGCTCATCTCAACTTCAGGTACATCAACAATCTAGTCACCGGAGAACTAGTCCGCGGTCTCCCTATTCTCAAATTCAGCAACGATACTCTCTGTCCGGCTTGTGAATGTGGTAAACAATCCAAAGCAAGTCACCCTCTGATAATGGACTCTTCTATTTCTAAACCTCTGGAGCTATTGCACGTTGATCTCTGCGGTCCATCAACCGTAGCCAGTCTCCACCACAAGAAGTATATACTGGTTATTGTTGATGACTATACACGCTTCACATGGGTCTTCTTCCTCAGACTCAAATCAGAGACACCGCAGATCTTCATCAACTTCATCAAAGAAATCGAACTTTAGATCAAGCTTCCAGTTAGACGCATCCGCAGTGATAATGGAACCGAGTTCACTAATCATCTTCTCAATAGTTTCTTGGTGTCCAAAGGCATTTCTCACAACTTCTCAGCACCCTACACACAGCAAAAAAATGGTGTAGTAGAAAGAAGGAACCGCCCACTGGTAGAAGCAGCCAGATCCATGCTTAACTTCGCCCAACTTCCTCTCTACTTCTGGGCTGAAGCAGTGGCAACCGCATGCTTTGTCCAAAACCGAAGTATCATGTGCAAACGCCTCAATAAAACACCATATG